GCCCATCCACACAGCTTCCACCTTGTTCTGCTGGGCGCCAGCAGGTGCCCTCACGGCATGCCCATCCACACAGCTTCCACCTTCTTCTGCTGGGCGCCAGCAGGTGCCCTCACGGCACGCCCATCCACACAGCTTCCACCTTGTTCTGCTGGGCGCCAGCAGGTGCCCTCACAGCACGCCCATCCACACAGCTTCCGCCTTGTTCTGGCCCTGGTCCCTGGATACTCACTGGTTGAAGACCCCCAGAAGGAGGGGGATTCCTCTGAACTAATGCACAAAGTCAAAAGCCTGCTTCTCACTCTCCTTCTCAAATGCACCCAGCTCCCCAGATGGAGCCACACCCCTGTAAATGCCAGCTTCTGATGAGTGCCAGGAGCCTGTGAGCAAAGCAAATTTCGTCCAACCTGCATGGCTGCTGTCCCTGACCCCAAGAATGCAGATTCTAGCTGACCCCAAACAGAAAGCAGCTCTCTCCAACCTGCTGCTCTGCTGCTAAGTAATGAGGCCTGACTAAAAGAATTTGTCACAGTAACTATCCTCTCAACAAGGGAAGTACTCAGGATCTTCCAAAAATTAATTTTAAAAGGTAAGAAGGTTTAAGAAAATCAGCCAGCAATTAGAAGGTGATTCTTGACTGCCAATCATTTAAACAGCCAACCAAAAGGCAGTCTCAGCAGAATGTGCCACCACACCCCATAGGAAGATGCCTGAGCTCTGGCAAGTCAGAACGTGCGTTGGGGGAAGCAGCAAAAGGCAGGTGCAGCAAGGCCTGAGCAAGGTGAAAACACGGGGTTCGGAAGCAAATAAACAGGGGAGAGGGGCAAGATGGCCAACAGGTACCAGCCTCTGACAGAAGCTCCCGTCCAGAGGGAAGGATAAAGTCCAGAAAACACCCAACAAAGTCGAAGATTGGGAGCCCAGTTGAGAGAGAAGAGGGAGACTGGCAGGACACCTCTGCTGAGGCAAGTGAGGACTCCTAGAAAGCAATCTACAGGTACATAATACACCCCAAAGGAGAAGTGTCCGTCCCCTCCCCAAGAAAGTTGTGCTTTTCCTTTGTTTTCTCTTCAACCGCTCCTCTGAGTCTCCTACAGGCGACCGATCAACTGAGGACCTATTATCTCACCTCACGAGTGAGAGCTACTCACAGTGGGGTCTACTCCCCTGGAGGGACCCTGCTGAGACCCTGAACACCTTCTCCCAGGCAGAAAAGTGGAACTGGCATTCACACTGCCATTTTGAGTTTCCAGTCCACCCTTCCCCCCTTGCCTGCAGAGACAGTGAGAGGATACCCCAGAGCAATGTCCCCCCACCCTTGCTGGATCAACCCCCATCCCAGTCCTGCACCGGGAGAACTGCTTGAAACACGTGTACTCTGTGTGGACTGATCCCGCCAGCAAGTGTGTTCAGCGCCAGGCCACAGTCCCCACTTCCCAGGGGCCCCGCCGCTGCCACCGCGCGCCCAGGACTGAATCCCGTGGGCTGGCACATCCCACACCTGGCTGCCTGCTGGTTTCCCCCTGCACTCCAGGGGCTCCCTGGTGGCTGCACCGAGGACTGATCCACCCAGCCAGCGTGTCCCCCACATGGCTGCCTGCCTATTGCTGTCTCCACTCCTTGGGGGCTCCCCAGTGGCACACACCGAAGACTGATCCAGCCAGCCAGCACATCCCCTGCATGGCTGCCTGCAGGTTGCTCCCCTACTTCCCAGGGGGCTCTGGCATTCCAGGCCAGGTCTGATAACTGTGAGAGGATGGTCAGTTGAGAGGAAACCACACTAGAGCGGTGATACCCCAAGGCGAAGAGCAACAGCTGCAGCAGTGGGAACGATAAGCTTTACATTCCTAAGGCTTTTTCCAGGCAGACACGCCCTGTCTATCTAGACAACCAGAAGAAGCCACTAGCAGAACGGTTTTAGGGACGGTCTTCTAAAGGCGCAAATTCAGCATGAGGCAGAATCAGTAGAAAAACTCTGGTAACCAAAAGAACCAGAGTAGATCAACTCCCTCCCAAGGAAGGACGGGGCAGATACAATTGAAGATCCCTTCCATAAACAGATGTCTGAGATGTCAGAAATCGAGTTCAGAATCTGGATAGCGAATAAGATCAACAGAATGGAGGAAAGGAGGGAACTAGAATTTCAAATTATTCAAAAGCTGTCTCAAGAATTCAATGATTACAAAGATAAAATGATCAAAGATTATAACATACTCAGGCCAGATATCTGCCTTATACAAGAATCTCACCATACTTTGAAAGACAAGCATAGACTCGGGTGAAGGATGGTCATCTATATTTCAGGCTAATGGAAAGCTTGAAAAAAGCAGGTGTTGCAGTTTTATTTGCAGATACAATAAGCTGTAAACCAACAAAAGTGAGCAAAGATAAAGATGGTTACTTTATATTTGTTAAGGGTAATACTCAATACGAAGAGATTTCAATTATCAATATTTATGCACCCAACCAGAATGCAACTCAATTTATAAGAGACACTCTAACAGACATGAGCAACCTGATTACTCCCAGCTCCATCATAGTCGGAGATTTTAATACCCCTTTGGCAGTGCTGGATAGATCCTCCAACAAGAAGCTTAGCAAAGAAATTTTGGATTTAAACTTAACCATTCAGCATTTGGATTTAACAGACATCTACAGAACATTTCACCCTAATAAAACTGAATACACGTTTTACTCATCAGCCCATGGAACGTACTCCAAAATAGACCACATCTTAGGTCACAAGTCTAACCTCAGCAAATTTAAAAGAATAGAAATTATTCCTTGCGTCTTCTCAGACTACCATGGAATAAAAGTTGAACTCAGTAATAACAGGAATCTGCAGACCCAAACAAAAACGTGGAAGCTAAATAACCTTATGCTCAATGATAGTTGGGTCAGAGACAAGCTCAAGAAAGGAATTACCAAATTTTTGGAACAAAACGATAATGAATAGATGAGTTATTAGAACCTCTGGGATACTGCAAAGGCAGTCCTAAGAGGGAAATTTATCACACTGCAAGCCTTCCTCAAGAAAATGGAAAGAGGGCTCGGCACCTGTGGCTCAAGTGGCCAAGGTGCCAGCCACATACACCTAAGGTGGCAGGTTTGAATCCAGCCCGGGCCCGCCAAACAACAATGACGGCTGCAACCAAAAAATAGCTGGGCGTTGTGGCGGGCGCCTGTGGTCCCAGCT